GAACCATTCCACCGCCGAGCATCCGCCTGGAGAACGTGTGTTGACCTGCCACTGTGATACATCAGTGCACCATAGTGCCCTCCACGACGTGACTTTGCCTTTGCATCACATTCTACAAACAATCTGCACAAGAACGGAGGAGGCCCCCTTTTGTTCCAAGATTGGGGGTCAGCACGCGACGCTAGCTCAAACGAGGGCGCGCCGGTGTCGAGGTCGCCATAACGAAACAGTACCTTGAACCCCGTCACACAATTTCTGGAACCTGTTACCGGCCAAACCAGTCCACCATGGCCAGAAATAGACAAGAAGCAAGGCCCAGATCCCGATCGTCGTTTACGGATGTCCACACGGGGAACACGACCGTGTCCATCCTGCTCCGCGTCGTCGCGCATCCAGTTCGCACGAAGCGGGCCTTCCCACCGCTGCCGAAATCGGACGGCATCGTAGCCGTTATCAGACAGCACTTCCATGAGGCGTCGCTCGAGAGTAGGTGTGGCCCGGGCGAGCATGAAAAGCACACGCGAGTGATCCGCTGCGAAACGCTGCGCCAACGCTGGGAGAGAGGTGATGCTCGACAGATCCAAGAAGCGAAGCAAAACCCCAATGATGCCGGGGCTGCCCCAGAGCACCTGGAGGTCGCAGAGGGTCGTACGAATAGGGGTTCTATTAGCTATCATCATTTGATCGATAGTATCACTATTTATATTGTCCGGAATGGCATGCTGGAACCAATACCCGCGGATATGCATGATGGAATCAATACACAAAAAGACAAACACTCACCGCAGCATCTACCATGCAAGCTGAGCTGATAGCATCATGCTGATAATGGTGCATCTGAATCTAAGTTAACCGAAGCAGTTGCATGCCTGTCCGATGCTGAACTTTCCGAACCCGACAACAAGTATAGGTGAGAGAATCTATAGCAGTTTGGCTAACGAGATAGTAAACTCCGACACGGGGAGGCAGCCTAGTGGGGCTGCCCTGCCGTGTGAGGGTGAACTATCGAGGTTACGCAGTGGCGGTACACCGGCGTCTCTGTTATCCTCACGTCACCTCAGCTGCCGTAGTGTACGGGGGCTGGGGCTACTGGACGAACGGGCAGAGGATCTGCCTCACTAGGTCCAGGAAGACTCTCCGTCTATTACAGTGCGGGAAGCAGCTATAACAGGGTTAGAAAGTATTAAGGAGGGGAAGGAAATTGGGGG